TCGAGGTTTGTTGATATCTTTGTGGTATAGGACTGTGGAATCACTCGAGTCGATTTGAACGATTTTTTATTTGAAATTTTTGGTGTATTTATATATATATATATATATATATATATATATATAAATATATATAAATACACCAAAAATTTCATATATATATATGTTTATATTTATTGTTGAATATTTAAAAAAACTTAATATGTTTAACTGTTCGTGTGATATTGTAATATGCTTTCATTTTAATTCCCTTTTCTCCCTATCTACCTAGCCGGCACAACCTTGAGCCGGAAAACGCAGAATATAAGGAACATAATAGCCTTTCTCTACGCTGTGGCCGACTCATATGGTTTTTCTTTGCAAGACCTCTAGCAAATTCAAGTTATTCCCCATTCGACGCACTTCTCTGGCCTTTTAGATTTTCCGAGAACATTTTGCGTTAAAGCTCTTCAGGAAGTCACCGTCTTGGCCCGGTTTCGCCTAGAATACTTAAGTTCGGACACTCTTGGAGACTTCTTCGAATGATCTGGATTTTGTATGGCGGTTTCAGATAAGAAATATAATGATAACCCAGAGATCTTTACTTGCAAGCCAATTTGTAATTTGAAAATCAGAAATAAGTGTCTCCGTGTATATCGCGTTGTGTATAGACGCTTCTATTCCTGGAAGCCTCCACCTTCCACTCCCACTCGCAAAAATCTCGATCTACGTACCCTCCGATTGCCAACAGCCAGGGGCGATTAACTACCTTGCGTTGCTCTGTTTCGTGTAAGCCGCGTTGCGCCGGTCTTAGAGCCATGCCGGGTCAGTAAGACGGATGGCGCAAGGTCGAGTGTTTTTACGACACCACCGTGGCCTGCCGTCTCGTCTATGAGATATCAGGCCAGCTCTCAAAGAGCTTGGCACCAACAAATTGCGCATTGTGCCTTCTAACTGATTCTGTCATGTTTTAGTGACGGAAAATATTCTAGCTATTTACAGGGTCATTGCTTACCGCTTCGACACTGCGCTACGCAGTATCGGCTTTAAAGCCACAATTGCCCTATGGTGCGAAAGTAGGGTCGATCTTTGGGTCCCTTCTACTAAGGCGATTGTATGTTTCTCTAGGCCCGTCGTCAGCTTTGTTCTAAATACAAAAGTTCCTCTGTATCCTTTTCTTTCTATAAATCTATTTCTTCCCCATTTTGCATAATCTAAATATCAAAATGTATTGTTTCAACATAGCGCCTAGTTTTTCACCAATTGTCGACTTCCTTATCAGCAGACTACCGCTAGTTCCTGTGCCTAAGAGACCGCTAATGAAATGCGTACCTATAAAGACCTCAGCAAATACTCGCTAGTCTATGTTCTCCTTCCGTCACACAGTTTCGATGACATGTCGCTTTACCGTGCGTGCAGAAAAACGAGCCCGCTTAACCACTGGTTGGTGGACGTCATACTTTCCAGTTGTCGGTCACCAGAAATTCTTTATAGAATTCAAGTAACAAACAATATCCCATTTTCAAAAGGCAGTATCTGAATACGTCATTGAACTGCTTAAAATTCAGGTTCTGCCCCTCACTAATGCCTCCTTCAGGTCTCTTGGAGGGGTTACTGCACAATGCTGTACGAAGTGGTTATTCAGCCGCGTTAACCATCAGCGACGGTTGCGCAAATCTGGATCGGTCGCTCACTGGCTATCGGAATCGTGGGGTGAGCTTACGCATGTGGTGGATATAATTTTCTACTCCCTCGCCGGCTTGCTGCTCTCGCTGCACCATTAAGCCCAACTGTCGACGGTGGAATGCCATTCATGTACCCCATACCATTCGCGGGCCTGACCAGTTAACAATAAGTGGACGTCAGAATAAATGGCCTTCCACCGGTTGAGTTTCGTGTACGCCCTTTACCTATCGTAGATATACGCTTTCTATAGCTGGAAGTCTACACACTTCGGACCTTACCGCGGAAGCTGTGATTATTGGGATGGCGCCATTTCCTCCACTCCACGCTCCTCGTCTCTGTGGTTTCAATTCAGGGGAGTATCGCTACGTCTGATAAGCCTGAGCAGTCGCCTCGTTTGCTATCCACTTGAACACTGAAGCTTCCGGCGTTTCCCAGTTCAACCAGATGCCTCTTCGAAATCATAGAAAGTTTATTGGCGTTTACACTAGACCTGCTACAGGACGCGGTGGTGACAAAGCCGTTTGCGTCAGCATCGGAAACCCAGTTAAACACCTGTTCCCCAGACTTGACTAACCTCCTCGTAAATGCCTATTCAACTTTTGCAACCCAATCTAAATACCTATCGAAAATGCTATACCCACACAATTTTTTTAAGTTTTTCAGCGTAATTTCAGAAAGTCCAAGAGAGGCCAACTATAATTATCTACGCCCAACCTAGACAGTGGGCAAACAAGTACCTAGTTCTTCAGGATGGCTGCCTATTGAGGTCATTGTGTGTGACAGATGCGGCGCGGCTTAAAATCTATGTTGTCCTGGGTCACCTTTCTCCAGAGCTCTAACAACTACGGCCAGCACGCATATAACGTGAACACAGAATAAAACAAAACAATAACTAAATAATATTTAACACCAAACAGGATAATTTTATCATTGCGGATACCACCAAACTACGATGACAATCGCAAACGCTTGCACTTCTACAAAGCCGTCTGCATCTTCCGTTTCGGTGTTCTGTTATTATTGAAGGGCTTATTTCGATTTAGGCTGCGCCGGCTGTCTCATCGGCTCTCATATCCTTGTCACATAGTCTGCTTTTCGGGCTTATACACTTCAGCAAATACAAATACGAAACTCAACATGAGCAGCTCAATCAGCTTGCGCCGGACAATTATGACAATTATTCCATTAAACTTTATATTCTTCCACCAATACAATAAAAAAACATCAGATAATACATATAGAACATTTGAGGTGTCTGATAGGAACCCAAATGCCGAAAATGAGCAAAATGAGCACAACGCCAACATCATTTACAAGCCGGGCAAAGCAAATTATGTTCTCAACGCCCTGTTGCGACTGAATGTGAACGCCATAGAAGGTTCCCCGGGCTCAGATGCCACTACTATTCACAGCGAAAAGTCCCTGACCGAATCTATCTATTTTAGCCACTGACAAACCAGTAACCAGTTGTTAAAAAAATTACATAATCTTGGAAGAGGCTCAATCCAATTCTATGAAAACCTTTGTAATTTTCAAGGCAAAACTGAGACACGTCATACAGTTTTTTGATCTGATAACAACAAGTACATTTATCGACGACTAGAAACAGATTAAGTTAAAACAGGGACAGCTAATAAATTAAAAAAAAACAAACAGATATAAAATAAACAAAAACCCTGTTTCCGCTTCAGGATTTATAAAAATTCTTAGCTCGATTCACAAAATTGTGGGCGCTAATAAGGCTCATTTGTTTGAAACAGTATTCGTAAATAGTCGCAGCGGAATAACAGACTTGTAGACTAATTGACCTATTGGTGATCAACGCACTGAAACTTTTACTGTATTTACCTTATATTTATTACATTTATTAATGGTCGGCAGTACGTGTGTCTTCCTCATTTTTCAACAGATTATATTAAAGATAATAGAATTATATGTTAAAAGTCTAGTTAAAGAATACAATTTTCCAAAGAGCATCACCGATGGAGGTGTTTTAATTGCCAGTCCGGCAAGCTGTGCCCCTTTTCACCTAATTTTGTCAGTGACGCTATTAGAGCCTACATCTAAGCTGAAGTTTGTAAGTAGGAAAAAAGTGTTCTTAAGTAAAATTAAAAATAATCGTAAATTGCTATATTAATAAAGAAAATACAATAAGTAGGAAAAAAAGAAAGTACGAAGATTGTTAATAAGGTAAAGAAATGTGTGTTAGATAATGAGTGTTAAGAGAAAAGTAAAGTTCTGTAATGGGAAATCACCGACCGGTGGCGGAAAATTTTTTCAGCCTGTCCGGCAAGCTGTGCCCCTGCCCATAGCTGGGAATGGTCAGCGACTTCCCGAAGGTATCCTGAAAGCAACGATTTTATTAGAGGTAGAGAAAGTTCGGTAATGAGGTAAAGTGAAGCAAACTATTATAATTTTTACATAGCACGCGAAAAGGATTGTGCATAGCGTAGTCTGTTGTGCACGTAGATAGGAATAAGGGGCGGTTGGTTGGTCTAGCCGGAACAGAGAATTGAAGACGCCCTAGCAGAAAAGGAGAATCTATGTCAATAATAATCAACTTATGTAGGAGGACAACACCGAGAATCCGTAATCCTACGGTTGGTTAACGATGGAAAGTTGAGAAAAAGCAGCCTGCTGGAGTAGGATGGCAACCGAAGATTAGAGTCCCAATTTAAACCTCGTAGGGCAAAAAGCAGAAATTGCTTCTGAACATATTCAATACGAACCTAGCTATTGTTATACTGTGGAGACCAGATGCAAGAGCAGTATTCAAGGATAGGACGAACAAGAGAGATGTGCAGAAGTGATACACGTTAAGACGAGGCCTCGTTAAATTCCACCCGTTCGTAAACAACTTTTTTGTTTACCATCCGCTCGGGCTAAAACTTATTTTTAAAGATATCTTTTCAAAATAATTTGAGGGGTTTTTAACACATTTTGAAAAATGGAAATGGAAGTTAAAGATTCTGCGGATAATATTTCGCCCGCGATTTCATTTTCAAGGATCTTAATGAAAAATCTTTTGGGACGTGTTTCATACTTTTCGTGGAACCAAGTTCCCTCGGTGGAAAATGTGAATCAATGAGATTTTCAATTTTTTTTCGATTAGCATAAAACTTTTTTCAGAGTTCTAGGAAAAAGTTAATAAATACGTATCTTAGCGATTTGGAAAATCCACCGACAGCAGCGGTTAATTAGCGAATAACGGTTGTATGCAATTATTTTTCTTTCCATCCGATAAACTTCAAAATTATAGTGAAAGTTCTTTGTGAGAATGTCCGTCTTACGTTCTTGGTTGACAATTGCAGGTAAAAGGCTTAATAAACAAAAGTTGATTCAGGATTCTTACCGCAATACTAATATGGGCGGAATTTGTTTATTCCAACACTTAATTTTTTATTTATATTTTTATTCTCTATTTGATTCACTTTTTTTAAAATCCAAAATAAAAAAGTGGCGATCAAGATGGGTAGATTAAAATTTTCCACGGGCGTGTACTTTCTGAAAAGGGCAAGGCTGAAAATTCCCGCCAGTTTTAAAATATATTAATTTAATTTTTTTGTATGGCCGAACTGGGAGTAAAATTCCACGAGAGGAGACGCAGAGAACCCAGGTGAGGACAAGGTCACCGAACTGGCCACCACCTGAGGTTCTTCAATAATACAATAAGATGGCAAGAATCGCAATGAAGTAAGGGAATCAGAAAGTCTAAAGTACGCGTTCTGGCCAAAAAACGGCAGGTCTATCTATTTGTTTCAAATTATGCCTTGAGGGCTGTGAAACGCTGCTCAGAGACTGTGCAGATTGATGGTCAAGGTTATTCCTCAATACTTGCGCAATCACGTGATTAGTTACTACTAATCACTACGAAAACATTTGTGGAGCACTGAAAGCAACTAAAAAAGTCTGCGATTGCCTGATGGAAGGAACAAGTCTCTAAATTCTGTTTCAAATACCAGCGTATTGCACACCGATCCAAAGAAGATAGGAGCATACTGCAGATCGCTCTCCTGAAAAGCACTAGGCAACTTTGAAGCTTTTTAGGCAGAACGGGATGGTGCAGATATGTTCTCCATTAAACTGTTTGAAGTAGAGGAAGTTGCGGTGTTCGTTTTTGAGACCACCAAATTTGACAGCCAGGAATGTTTTGAAATGCAAAAAGTTGTTAGAGAAGCTTCCACACTTACGAGTTGAAGAGGGACAGTTATTCAAAAGAACCCAGTTCCACAGAATAGAATTCTGGAAACTATGGGTTCCTGAAGCATTGCCATCGACGCTTATACAAAATGTGCATGAAGGCAATATGGCGATGCATGGTAGAATTACGAAGACTTTGGCCTAGCAAACCTTCTACTGGCTCCTTATGTTAATCCATGTTTGATAATAATTCACCAACTGTGAAGCTTGTAAAAAGACAAGGCATACGACACGCGTTACTTGTCCGCTTATTGGTAAGGAAATCAACAGATGTTAATACAAAATTGTGTATGGAATTTTGGGCGAAAATCCACACACGCGACATGACTGCACGCACCTTTTCACAGTGCTTGATCACTTTGGTAATTTCGCACAGTTAGGAGGACCTGAAATTAATTATACAGACAGTATCAGACAGTTCACGTCTATTGAGTTTACCGAATTCAAAAGTAAATATCAGTATATACCTCACCAGAAAACAGGGGACAGGGACAAATAGTCAACCAGTCTGTGCTGGCAACAACCTGGATTCAATTTGGCGACCATGCGCGATGAGATGAAAAGCTCCCCGATAAAAAGGCACCACCGCGTAGTGCGATACACAGCAGTACGCGAACGTCACCATAGTTCGCTATGTTCGGACAGCATATTTTCACTAACGGCGCGGACTACAAACTGGCACGCAGATTGAAGGCCGTAAAAGGCTCAGATTTGCACTACTTGCCCCGGTCGATGTACATTAAATGTATAGGGCAAAAATGCAGGGCATTATGCACTCAGCCTAGAAAAAAACGAACGGATTTATCAACTTGAAATCCCGAGACGTAACGTACTTACCTGGAGATATTCAAACGCAACTTTACCTTAAGGGACTTCGCAATAAGCGGCAACGCAAAGTTGTGCCACAAATATTCAAAGTTCAGTGTTGGGAGTGCGGTGTGATCCAGTTTCTGTTGTTGACCAACATTGGCGCAGACGAAATGACGACAAAAATTCCAAAGACAACATTGAAGAATAGCGATAAGGCCCGGTGACCACTTCCGATTAAAAGTCAAGCAATCAAGCCAGAGTGTGGTGTTACGCGCAGCGATAATTATTAAAAAAAAAAACAACAGTAAAACAATACGCTGTTGTTCGATTGCCAACTGAAGGTGGACATCGATGAATGACATATATCGATAGATTCAAAAGGTGTGCAACTATCGAAATAACAGGTTCCTGAGCGAGAGGTAGTTGAGAGATCAGAAAAGAAAAACGCAGGGACAAGCGCAAGCCGGCGGCATGTGAGATAGTTAAAACATTAATATAATAAGCGTTAACTTAAAGACATATATAATATAAGTGTGTACAAAATTTTAAATAGCTGGACATATATTTTTGCATAACATTGTGCGTTTTAATATGCAACAGTTGCCAAACAATTTTTGATATTAATAAATTTTTTGTCGTTTTTTTTTACAAAACTTTGTATGGCTATTATTTGTAAGGATGTTAGATGCTGCCAATGTGAACATCAGTTTCACATCTTCAATACATTTAATTTAATCTGAGAATGTAGTCAGTGTAAATTGACTATAATGAACATTTCCTTAAGACTTTTTAGAGATATGCGTATTAACAGTTACAATTTGCGCTATTAAACAATTGTTAAGACCATTATTTTTCTACAAGGCGGGCAACTTAAAAATACCTATTAGGTCCGTAATTATTGTTCATATCTAGAAAACAGTATATTGTGGTGTTTCGAACAAGTACAAGTGTGTAAAAAGTTTTAGAGTTCATTTATTAAATAAAAAAGGTACCTAATTCAGTATCACATATCTGAAAATATTTATAGCTTGAAAGAATATATCTAAGCTCAGCGGTATTATATATTGTCTATTTACATATATATATGTATATACTGACAAAACGAATTTCCATAACAAAGTGCCCCTTACAATTATTGTAATTTATACAAGTGCATACATATATACATATGCTTACATATACAAATGAATGACTCAGCTTGCCTAAACTGATAACAGTGCATAGCTTTAAATGCACATTCATACATGTACATATGTACATATTTAATATATAATTAATTGTGTGTTCTTATGTGCTAAAACCATTGCTCTCCCACACAATCGGAATACTTTGTGATGTTGTACAATTAATATTGTTATTTTTAAAAAGAAATGTCACAATTTCTTGCGACTATGCCTAAGTCAATTAGGCTTTAGTTTCTGTACACATACAAACAAAATGGTACAATGCTCAAACAGTGCAAATATGCACAAATGGAGGATCTTAATATATTAATGTTCAGCATAAAGAGCCTTTGTCGTCAAATAGAGATACAAAAACGTAAAAAAAACATCTACAGTGAAAACTGCGGAAAGCGGACACCCTCTAACGCGGGATTTTTTCCGGTTATGGAAGTGGCAACCTTTTAACGAAGTACAAATTAACGCACAGAAAGAGGTCATCTTCAGGATATATGTATATCCTGGATCTGCATAAACAGTTGAGTTCTATTCAAACTAGTGTCAGTTTTAATGTAGATATGTAAAACTGGTCGAATCGGAACCCCATACATCTACAGCTACTATAGGAACGGAACGATCGGAACGAACTTAGATATGGCAAATATATTTGTGTGAGGGGTATTAAAGAGATATCCTTACTTTCTCGTTTTTATTTCAAATACTTTATTAGAGCTTAAATAATAAATTTGCGATTTTCCTATATGAACGCGTCGACAATTTTTATTTTTAAACAAATAATTAATTGCTTCAGTTATTACAGATTTTTTGAACAAAATAATTCAAAATGCAGTGTCAGTATACAGTTATCGGAGCGTCTGGTATTGAAAATGCGTTTAGTATACAAAAACGTTTAAAACTTTTTTTATGCCGTGGAAATATAAAGTTGCATTCTATTAAATTACCGAATTAAATGACAACATACAACTAAACTGTAAGATTATAATTGCTTAATGCAAATGCATGTAACTGTAAAATGATTGGTGTTTCACATCGCATTAGCGGGATTGTGACTGCTGATCCGCGTTAGCGAATAAGGATACATAGGACCGGTTAGGTAACGAGACTCATTAAACTTGTCAAAAGTCATTACCCCTGGTGAAAATCAGCTTTAGTTGCATTCTTCATTCGCATATATCTTCATCTCAATTCCGTTGATCTTGTTTATTTCCAAAATATATTTTCGAAACCATATTCAATGATGGTTTTGGCGACCTGATATAACCATGTAGTTGGGTGGCTTGAGGTCCGCGTTTGTTTAAATAAAATTTTGAAAACAATTTTATTCTATTTTGCTTCTAATATATTGCGGTTGCACATCGGCAAACCGTCTTCAGGGCACTAACACAAGGTACAAAAAACAATTAACATTAACATAACCATATTTATTTATTTAAATCATTTTTTCCCACTAATAAGAAAAAAATAGTGCACATGCATACAAAGTTAGTCCTTTAAGTCTTGCGCGGAGTTTGCTTCCGATTGTGATATCGTCGATGTGCGATGCGTGCTGTAAATATCTCGCTAAAATTTTTGCGTTTGAATACAAGCACTTGTCCTTTCATGCAGACTTTAGTTAGTTCGGTTTTGCGAACCTTGAGAATGCCGAGATAAAAAAAAACGGATGACATTTGCCAATCAAGGTACTTAATGAAAGGCTTAGGAGTTTGTTCTATCCAGAGCGACTTAGTAGTGCAAATGACTATAAGTGTGGAATGCGGCGCAAAGTACGGAAGTAACGGTACAGCGCTGTATGCGACTTATTGGAAATGTCCAAAGACAAGTAAACTGCATTAGAATTAGTTGATCATTTGGGGGTTTTTTTTTCAGAAAAACAATACATAATACCGCGTATCGTTGCCAGAAGCTAATAATTAAAAACAGAAATATAATCAGCTTTCGCCCAGGTGGTCCAGAACGACAGCATTATAATAACATTTGTTGTTACCTACTGCTTGAGTATTTTGTGAGGTCGAACGCTATTCTATCTGCAAATGTATCAGGCATTATAGTCTACAAATTGCCACCCACATCGATGTTATTAAAAGGATGGTCAATCTTATTTTACTGCTTTAACAATATAATATCGCCACATGTTGTATTGCCTTGGATTTCAAGGAATGATGCAGCCTTGAACTTTGGTTTTAGTTAATGCCTATGTATAAGGAAGGCATTATTATTGTAATACATTTTTATAAATATTAGCTAAAAAGTTTTCAGTTATGAACATTTTCAATAACATCTTCTGGGGATATGTACATTTTAATAGCATGAAAACAGATATAAGAGGCTAACTAACAATTTAATAAAATTCTCGTATGTGAATTTAATTACTTCTGTCCTATCCACTTCAATTTTTCAAAATGTGCCTGCGTCCAGTTATTGTTTGTTTGTTTATGGTCCACACCCCTTATCTGAAGTATATAGTTTATCTACTTCTTGAGTTATGCTTTAAAAAGTTTGTCTAAAAATCAATATTTATTGATTTTATAAAATATAGAGACATAAAAAAAAAAAATAAAAAATGCATGTTCAGCCAAAAGCAGTTCACAGGCCGTTGGTTCCATCTAAGGGAAGGTGCAGATGTTGTGTTCTCCGCAAAGTTATTGTCAGGCAATGCAATTGCTTAATAATAACAGACCAGAAGAGGAGACCAGCTCAGGAGCAGTTCGTAGTGGAATTTTATAGCGAACTCCGTGACTTCCCGAAACGACTCTGGCACTTACAAAATGAATTTCGTCGACAGCAAAAGTTACTACGGTGAAAAACACCATACATTTACATATTTTTTTGTTCTCATGAATGCATAATTCAGACATATAAACCGAGATGCTTGCTCGTCATGGCGGGGACTGAGATTTTCTTTTTAGCATACACTGCAAAAAACGAAAATAAAGCAAGAGTCGCTGTTCCCGACTAGGGAATACCCTGAGCCCTTTTCTACCAACATCAAATGCAGAAAATTAATTCAACAACAAAAAATAGATCCGATATGATTCGAACTCGTAATATACCGCTACTCTCCGCCAAAGCAACAATTAAATGCCAATGAAAACAAAAATGAATAAAAATAGCAGCACATACACACAGCTCGGAAATTTATACAATCGCAATTGCAATGGTGTGATAGAATTTAATAAAGACGCGCATGAATGTGTGTGTGTGTGTGTATGTATATAGAAAATCTTCCAATTTGCGATAGCTGCCCCAACCACATGGCCAGCTAAAATATATTTTCATTAATAACTCCTGGGTTTCTTAACCGATCTTGATGAAAATTTCAAGTAGTAGTAGATCTTATAGTGATATAGAATATACCTGTATTCTCTAAAAGACAATTGCATTAAGGTTGTGGCGTATATTTGTTGTGCAATACAAATTAGTTTATTTACTTGATTTATAGCTATATGGTGGTAGCGGGTTGGGGATAGCTATAAAATGAAAGATACTTGATTTATATAGACTATTCTAGAAGCTACTTGTCAAGTTTGGTGACTCTAGCTCCAAAAACTTAAGAGATTTGCTCAACAATCACGATCCCAATATCGATTTTGACCGATAACTAGCCCCATAGGGTACTACTACTATATCTTTTATAGGTTAATAGATCCTTGCGGTCATACATACGGACGGCCGGACGGTCGGATAGACACACGGACTCAGGTATTAATACTGATCAAGTATATATATACTTTATGGGGACGGAGCTGCTTTCTTCTGCTTGTTACATACATCTTCATGTATGGTTTGAGGAAAATCAAAATATGAAGATAGTTTAATAACTACATGGTGCGCTATGTGAAACAATTATTTTATTTTTAATTACAAATGATCAAATTATATCATTCAATTTATTAAAACAGGAAGGTCTAAAATTTAGCCTTATATATATAATCATTTCTCCTAAAATTAAGTATATAGACAGCACAGTAAATCCCGAGTGTTTTTGCGCCAACCCAACAACATATAGACTAGACAACCAGTGGAAGATAATCGGGCATCGTGGTGGTGTACAGTCGCTTTCGTTTTTGTTTGGGTTCGAGACACGCCCGCACACTCAGTGAAGAGAGTAAGAAATACATATTATTCGTTGCCCTTTTTTTATTCGCTCACATTACAGGAAACTGCTTTGGCTTACTCTCAGCGCTATTTTAATTTGTGTATTTACCGTTTTACTGTCGGTGTGTGTGTCCGCACAAGCAACTTTGTTTAGAAATTCAATTTTTCTCAATCTCATTTATAATACTTTGGACTCGCTAATCATGCATACGTGCATATGTTGTATATGTTAGTTGCGTGCCTGCCTGTGCCTTGCAAATTTGACAAGATTTTGGAATCGTAAACGACATATGTTGTTGGGTTAGTGCCAGTACTTTCTCTATAGCTTGGAACGAAAAGGTATAAGCTCAGCATTACTGCGCTAGTAGCGTTCGATGTCTCGATATTGGCTGATTGTTATCGTTATGGTAGTATGTGTCAACAATACACAGAAAGTGTACGTTTGAACACGATTGACCGAACATGTATTTACATTTATATATGTTAATTCAAGAAGGTTTAAAAGTGGGAGCGAAAAAAATTATCCATTGTATGCCAAAGGATTTCCGGTAAAGCAATAAGCATTGCACTGAGCATTCATTCTTTCATTTTTGGTTAATTTAAACAATATCAACCCAAACAAAACTAGTCTTCAAGTTAGGGTACTTTTAGCTTTTGAAATTGAACAACAAGTGAAGATGAAAGCAGAAGCGCTGTTCAAATGCGCTAAAAA